CGTTCCGCAAAATCTGCCTATCGGAGGCCTTGCTGCATGATATAGTTTATCGTCATCCCCACGACGGACGCGTCTACGCGCTCTTGTGGGTAATGAATTAAACCCCACATTACGACCCATTTCCCTCATATGCAACATCGCAAACTTATCGCTGCTATACCTGTATTTCCATAGAAAGTGTTTAGAGGAACTAAATTACTTTGTTCCACCAGTTCAGACATTTACAACTAAAACTCGCAATGACATGGACACCGAGACAAATCACCTCCACAAACATCGTATTCCAGTAGCAAGACGTAAGTTCTATTCGGACAGCTTTTTACACAGAACAGTTGCTCCAGAAAAGGTGCTTCCTTGATCAATATGATCTTAGCCTCTTCATTGCCTGAGTCAACAGTTGTCGCATGTCTCCTGGGGCTAGATACACCCCAAACTCCAAATGTAAGGTGGATTTTCCAAACACCGTTAACGATGCAAACATGGTGGTCTCCTTCCACTACTCCAAAAAGTACCTGGGTCCTTACGTCATGCTCTCCCTGGAGCTGTCCAATCTTCTCTTTAACATTAACCCATAGCTGGGGGAGAAGAGGGGAAGTCATCCCTTTACTTTTCGTGGTATTTTCGTGTGGGTGAATATCTCTCCGATGTTCAATTCCTAGACGTACTTCAGTACACTACCCAAGCTGTCTTGGTAATCGCAAGCGGTCACCCATCTCGGTACTGACCAAGATCGATGTTGCTTAACTTGTTAGACATTTTCATGACGGTCGTCCTCGAGCATAGAATCCAGAGGTTGGCAGTGAATATTTCGGAGACAGTAGTAAAGCGTACTTTAGGTTCGCAGTGGATATCACAGCAGAGCGTAGTTCTTCCGTCTGTCATGTTCGCCTCACAAGTTGGCTCTGGTCATTCCGGTAGGAAAACAAAGATGACCGCCTTTATACACGACGGATAAAGTGTTCTGCGGCTCCTGATTGGTTAATCTTCTATTGGTAGACTATAAAGGGAAATAAGTCATTTTGACTCGCTCACTAGTTATATACGGTATATACCCAAGAAACCGTAACATAACTTCGTTGATTTTACGCGAACATGGCCTTAAGCCCATTATAGCTACCGCTCATTCAAGTTGCAACACCTGTTAATACCAAGCGGTCAACCATCTTGTTATTGAGTAGGCCCAAAATCGATGATCGTACTCGAACCAGGCTTTCAATGTGATATGACCACAATCTCATTATACCACCCGCACATCCAAGCTCACATCACCTGATATTTCCAACCGGTTGCCCATTTCTATACTGGCCATGATCGACGTTGCTTAACTTCGTTGATCGAACGCCAACCATAGTTTTAACGTGATACGGACGTAACCCTGTAGCGTAATTAGTCATGGTTAAATGTAATTGGCAGAAATGGCCAACTAACTGAAATGACAAAGTTTACAATAAAAAAATAGCAAGAGAAAGAAAAGAAAAGGGCAAAAATAACATCGAGCTAACAATAATTACAAGGAAAAGCAAGAATATAGGTACCTCCTCTAATTCGGTGAAAAAAAACATATACCATGATGTTTTTTCACCATGGTATATGAACTTAATAAAAATAAACGTTTTATCGTCAAAATTTTTGTTATTGTTATGGTCCAGGTTAGGACCAAGGAAGAACAACACGAACACAAGAGTAGAAATAACGAAAGTATATTACACGAAATAATAATACAAGATGTGGAAGGTGTTAGTATGACTGTCAGTCTGGTTTGGAGTGAACTACTATCGGCTCGACTTGATTCGATATTTACTTGCTCCCCACGATGAAAGATGTGGCACAAGCCCGATTTTTACGTGGGTTTTCCGAACCTGTAGGCTCCGCCAAAAAAATTCCCGTAGAAATTGTAAAAACAGAATCGGGTTGGTCAACCTCCCCGAACGAGACTCTGCCCTTCGGCGGAGCCTCGTCCGGGTTCCTCACCGCTCAGAGGCAGAGAGTTCGAGCGTCAAGCCGAGAAGCTCGGCTCGATTCAGTATCTAGCCCCCCCACGAGGGTTGCATGTGGCACAAGGCCGAGTTTAACGTGGGTTTCCCGAGCTCGTAGGCTCGGCCAAAAAAAAAAAAAAAAAATGTCCGTAGAACCAGTATAAACGGGATCGGGTTGCGCGGAGGCATCGTCCGGGTTCCTCTCTGCTCAGAGGCAGAGAGTTCGACCGTCAACCCGAGAAGCTCGACTCGATTCGGTATCTAGCCACCCCCCACGAGTGTTGCATATGGCACAAGGCCGAGTTTAACGTGGATATCCCGAGCCCGTAGGCTCGGCCAAAACATACCCGTAGAACCCGTATAAACGGAATGGGGTTGGTCAACCTCCCCGGACGAGACTCTACCCTTCAGCGGACCCTCGTCCGGGTTCCTCTCTGCTCTCTCTTGAGAGGCGTAGTATACATAATGTTAGGAAGAGTTCATTCTGTAGTTATAGGTAAGGACCCATGAGAGTTATTATTAAGCAGAAAGACGAAAATAGTTTTTTTTTTTATTTTATTAAATGTTTTAATCATTTCTAGCAAGTTCGAAATTTTGGTTAACAATCATGTGACCTTTTGTGTCAACAGTCGACCAAAGATTACTGTGTCTATTCTAGTGCCTTTTTCGGTAAAAAAAATACACGAGGTTTGGAAATTCTTGAAAAAATCAAATAATTGTTTGATTTTAATGAAACGTTCAGGATCTATTCTTATATTAATTTCATTATTTTTTTTACTTTTTCTTTTAGAAAATCTGGATAAAAACATTTTTTTTTTTACATCCCTACTTACATAATTTTATAAAATTTTGAAAAATTAAAATTTCATACTCTGCATATTTATATTAGTTTAAAGCAAGAGTCCTTGAAGAATTTTAGTAATCATTTTGTAATTGTCGAGCTGGAAGACATTTACCCCAAATCTGCTCCGAATTATAAAATAAAAATTCAATAAAACTATAAAATTATTTAATTAGAAAAGCTTTTATAAATAAGATATATTAAAGACACTAAAAATCGATGAATAATGAATTTTTACAAGAATTAATTTAATTAGAAAAATTTATTAAGTTTTAAATCTTTTAAAATTCTGTATTAATTTCAGCCATTTTGATTGTATTATTATTAATTGAAAACTATATTTACTAATTATAAATAGTAAATCTTAATACCAGTCATCGAATAGCAAGATTTTTAAAAGAATTTTGAATTTTTTTTATGTATATAAACGTGCCCACTTTTGAAAGTATGGTCGACCATAGACGACATTATCAGAAAATTAGAACGATGACTATAGGAAATTTAAAGCCAGCATTCCTAAAATTAGATTATGGAGAATATTTTCCAACATTTTTAAAATTACTAAAAATACTTAAAAATTATATAAAAAGAAGGCGCTCACGTCATTTTCTTAAGTTATGTTTTACAAATGTCTCCATAGAACAACAATAAACATGTTATTACCCTTTTGTCATGGCTAATGTCGTTTGAAAAAACAGCTGCTGTTTGGTTTGAAATTATATTTCTCTTATTTTAAACTTAAAATGAATAATATTTGTTTCAAGTCAGATTAATTATACTTTAAATAAGCAAATATTTCTCAGGGTCTCAGAAAAGTATATTTCATTTCTGGAAGATGTTTCAATATAGTTCATTTTTGATGAAAATCGACTAAAAAATGGCGGTAATCGGGCATTTTAGAAATAAAATCGATTCCAATCAATATAATTTCTGTTTGACTTACACCAGTGTATTTTGATTAGTGGAAATAGTAAATGTAATCCTTTAGCTTTCAATTAAAGCTAAAATGAAAACTTCAAGGAAGCTTTTTTCTTTTTAAAAATTCATTTTGAACCTTAAGTATCGCGAATTAGTTGAAGTACCTACGATACTAATCATTGAACATGTTCATAAATTAAGGACTGTGTTAACACATAAAAGGAGACACAAACAAGGCATTTTAGTGTTCTGAAATTTAAGAAAGAACTGAACTAATTTAGATATGAACTATAAGTGTCTTATCTTAATGGCTAGGTAGAAATCTTAGTATGAATCTGTTTGTTTTGTTCGTAAATTTGAGGAGGTGGTATTTTTACAGTCATTCCCTTACACAACAGTAACCAACAAAGCCCATTGCTATGTGCCGGATATTGATGGACTGGTTCCTTTAAAAAGGTGATAACATCCAATAAATAGAGAGAATCAGCAAGACGATATATTCTAGTCAATAAATTTGACTTTACTTCATTTTCTTTTAATTTGCTTTGAATTTTCCAAAGATTCAAATGAAATTTATTGAATTTTTTTCCCGCTCACACATCATTGTTCTGTGTTCTCCCAATATGGCCGAAACACAAAAAAATTGCATCTTCAAACATAATAACAAGAAAAAAAGAATACGTTTTCGAATTGCATAAAATGATTCATCAGCCTAGTGTCAGAGAAAATCATGTTGAAGAAGGATTAAACTATTTTGCATATTTAAGTTTCCATTTTTGAACTGTCAGAACGACGGTGAAGATCTTTTTATTGGATATAAAATACATTATCTTGATTGGTGCAGATATAATTCAAAACGACTGATAAAAAAGGAAGTAAGGGCATTTGTAAGAATTTCCATTGTACAAACAGACGACTTCTGCTTCTCGTTGGAAAAGAAAGAGAAAACCATGATTTATGTAGGCCGGCCATATGGAATAAGCATAAAATACCGATACATTCCGTTTTCGCATATATCACCAGAAACGTCATATCTTCCAGGTATCGCCAGGTAAAACGGAAATAAGTTCATTTCTTGCAAAGGTCAGAGAATAGCAGTGAGGGATGAGAGAGAGAGAAAAGACGAGGAAATGAAAAATTCAGCAGAGTGACAAGACAGAGATAAAGAAGAGTGTGTCTCGGGCAAAAGAAAATCGCATCGAAGAGTGAAAATGCAAAAAAGAAATAGAAAAAAAAAGACATTAAAGAATTAGAAGCGGAGGAATATGCTGTCAAGGAAATCTGATAAAGTAAGGAAAATAAAAGCAGGAAAAACGAGGAAAGGAAATTATGTTTCAGATAGGAAGGATAAACTATTACGCAATGATTTATTTGTATGAAAAGAGGAGAAAACTGATTTGAATTAATCGATATATAACATTAACACAGCAAGGAAATTAAGCAAAGAAAAAAAAAACGGGCAATAAATTACGCAAAAATACGGATAACAAAATCGAATAAAAATATGATAAACAAATTAAAAAATGTTATATTGAAGGTGGTGACATGCGAGATACATTCCAGTAGTTTTTAAATTCATTTTAAGAGAGGACGTTACAACTGTCATAGATTATTGTAATTTCAGCATCTCGTTACTATACATCTAATAAGCTGATAGACCAACTTCTGTTATTCCAGATTGAATGAGACGCGTGGAGCGATCTATGAATACGCCCTACAAAACACTGGTTGTCATAGCGGCCTAAGTTGTAGAATGTATTTGGGACGAAAAGATATTTTGCAATAAAGCTTTGTTGTAAACCAGGTAAAAACGTTACATCGTCCAGGGCATGACGATAAACTACATCCGCGTTCTGAGTAAGATGATAAACTACATCCGCGTTCTGAGTAAGATGATAAACTACATCCGCGTCCTGAGTGTTGAAGAGTGTGGAACTACGTCTTAATTGCTGGTCCACCCTGACCCCGTGCGGTAGCACATGTTAGGGTGGTCCCAGCTATGGGCAAATAGTTAACCCCAAACTGGAGTCAAAACTGTATGAAAGCGTAAAAATGGTAACGGTTTGCATTTCATACCCACCATATAGCATAAGTCGAGTTTTCAAGCCTAATAACGGTAAACTATGTCTACAATTTGCAGTTAATTCATTTCTTTAGTTTAATAGAGAAATTTTATCACCAATTCTAATAATTTCCAATTTCTCGTGTAAGCATAATTAGTAAGTGTCATGTAAGGATCTATAGGGTCTAGATTCTTTTTTTAAACTTTTCATTTTACCGAAAATGTTTTATTAACCTCTTTTAAATTCCAAAACCTGGTTTCCGATAACTTTCTCCATAATACCACCCAGGTCTAGAGAGCCCCGCTTATCCTCCTACTTAACCCATAGGTGGAGGGAGGAGAATTTTACAAGCATTAGAGAATTTTCACACATACAGCATTTTCAACATATAACGCATTATTGGATTACTATTTATTCATGTCGTTAATGAAAATCTCTTAAGACTGCGTTAGTGTTATGGCCCGGTTCCTTGTACCACGGTGATAATCCAAGGTAGAACCAATAAAGAACTCAAACACGGATATGGAATAACACAGATATATTACAAACAGGAATATATATAGAGAAGTAGAAAGTGTTAGTACGAACAATCAGGTTTAGTAGTAATTGTCTGAACGCGACTCTGTTTCGGACTGCTTCTGACTCGACTGACGGACTCGCTCACTCTGACTGACAGACAGACTCCTGACGGACCTCACTCCTGACTTCAGACTGAACTCCCTGCTTCCTCTTAAGGCGCAGTATTTATTACGTATGGAATAGTCCATTATGTTATTATGGGGAAGGTCCCATAACAGTTAGTCACCTTGAAAATTGAAAGAAACCTGGGGTGTTTACACACCCCAATGCAAAAAATGTTTATAGTATTACAATTATGTAAAATATTGTCGTACTACTGAAAAAAAATAACATCACAGGCAATCTCTGTTACAATATATATTGAATCAAAACTTAAACTGAAGATATAATTATTCATTGAAATGGAAATTATAATAAATATGTTGAATAAACATATGTTGTAAACTGTAGTAAAACACACCAAAACAACAAGAAAGAAATGTTCTATTCATCAAGAATAGCTACAATATATTTCCATGACTGGAAATATATTACATTGGCTAAATTCCTAATTACAGGACAGAATGTGTAATATATAGGGAATATGGAGAATACGCTTCTTTCAACCGACGAAAATAGAATTCGTCAGTCTTATTCAACTGTCTCGTGCCTTTCGCCTGACTGAAACATTGAAATGTATAAATTCTGTACTAGTTTTACGACTTTTTTTTTGTTTTTCTTTTTTTATCGCTTTCACAGTTAAATTTCTATTTCCCACATGGACTCAGTCTATGACGCGGTTGAATAAGATTGACGAATTATATTTCCGTCGATTAAAATAATCTTATTCGACATATGAGATGATTTTTATTTTGTTTTATTGAGTATTAAGGTAATGTGATAAATACATAGAGCTCTTTTTGTCGATCAGTTTTCATAGTTAAATTTCTATTTCCGACATGGATTCAGTCTATCTCGGGGTTGAATAAGACTGACGAATTATATTTTCGTCGGTTAAAATAATCTTATCAAACAAATGAGATGATTTTTATTTTTTTTATTTTGTTGTGTATTAATTTTTGCTCTGTAATAATAAATACATTGAGCACTTTCTGTCGATTAGATTTAATATTTTATATTACTAGGATCCATTTGGATATATATATATATATATATATATATATATATATATATATATATAAGGCATATTATTTCTAAAAAAATATCTAATTCACGAACACTTACACTCGTTAGTCAGGCTGAGTGACAGGACACCCCGAAGAAGACATCTGAATAGGTTAAAATTTTAGCATTTTCTTGGGAGTCCGTTCCACAAAGTAGAGGCTTGTAGTAAGAAGCTATTCGAGGGAAGCCTCCTCCTTACTAATGGAATACAAAGGGAATTAGGTTGATTCGTTTCAACTGACGCGGCCTTGAAGCGTCTTGAGAGTTAGCCGTAAAGATTTTCTAAGCGTAGCATAGATGTGGCTCAAGGCCAAAGGTAATGAGGCGCCCTGTTGTAACTGATCTAGGGACACAAGATTGCTAACCATTACACCACGTCGAAGTGGGAAGGTCAGAAGTGGGGGGTACAAAGAAATGTAGCTCGTCTGAACATATGCCATGGAAATAGCAATCGCGTAGCGAGAGGCCTGGATTGCTGCGCCCGTGTGAGAAGAGTTGCAACGTGGAAGACAATTCATCAGCAACAGGCGCTGTAGACGCTTTTGGACTCTATGGAAAGTGGAAGGTGAAGACAAGGATGATCCAGTCCATATATGGCAGTAGTACTCAAATTTGGGCCTGATCTGGACTTTTAAAAATAGTGCATGGTAGTGGGCGGCTAGGTATTCAACGGGTCGATGCAAGGAACTGACATTTTCCAGCGTATTTAGCAATAGATCTTATATGACAAAGCCACTTATAGTCTGGATTAAGCATAAGACTTTTTTTTTTTTTTTTAAGCATTTCACCCCAAGCAAGGCGGGAAGCCACTAGGACGCAAGGGGTTACAGAAAACTTAGAGCAAGATCAGATAGGAGTGATAGAAGAAAAAATGAGGAGAAAGAATAGTGGATAGATCAAGGCAACTGGAGATGTCGATTGACATTACACTTGAATAGCTGGAGATTATAGCTCTCAGGGAAACTGGAATAGGGAAGGGAGTTCCACAGGCGAGAGGTGCGAGACATGAAGCTATTGGAGTAGAAGAGACGGCTACATTTAAGAGTTTCGACAGTGAAGGAGTGAGAGCGGGATGCCAGCCTCGTAGGGCGCTTGAACTCATGACGACTGGGAACCAGCGAATGCAGCTCCTCGAAGCAATTTCCATGAAAGTATTTGTAGAACAGACAGAGGGAGACGACGGCGCGTCTGTGAAAAAGTGACTGAAGACGAGATGCCAGAGCAGGGCCAAGTACATTGCATATCCACCTCTGGAGCCTATCAAGAACCCCGACTAATAACCATTTAACAAATGAATCAATTTTAGGAATTATATAATACCTATTCTCGTGCGTGGTGGTGAATGATAAACAATCACATCACAGATAAAGATATCTTAGGCGACAGAGACATAGCGTTACTGACAATTGTCCTTAGAAATAAAGAAAAGAGTCTTGGATTTTTATATAATATCTAGTTTGTTTTGGGTTATTTTTTTCCAATTGTCATCCTTATATAAATTTGTCTTATCCACAGAATTGTTCTGGGGATTTTGCTTCATTGTCGACATAGAAAAAAAAAACTATTCGTATAAAGGAAGTTAACATTATCCAGGAAGAGTCTTCCCCAAGAGCGACTCTTACTTTTTTTTTAAATTTTGGATTTAATGTAACTATGACAAGAAAAACATTTCGCTTTCATTCTTGCCATGACAAAGTCGGAAGATAAAACGCGTCGACAAAAAAATTTTTTTCTACCAATTGGCATTCTTATTCGATAATATCTAATGTCTTATATGGCAGTAAATACTGCAGAATCTCTTCACAGATGAAGAAGAGACTTGAAGCAACAGAGATATGGTTCTACAGACGAGTGTCATTAGAAACAAAGTGTTGTACATCTATGTAATATCTAATCTGGTAGATGGCAGTGAATGCTAGACAGTCTTCTCACAGATGAAGAAGAGACTTGAAGCGATAGAAATGTGGTTCTACTGACGAGTGTCCTTAGAAACAAAGAAAAGAGTGTTGGACGGCTATGTAATATCTAATCTCCTATATGGTAGTGAATGCTGGACAATCTCCTCACAGATGAAGAAGAGACTTGAAGCGACAGAGATGTGGTTCTACTGACGAGTGTCCTTAGAAACAAAGAAAAGAGTGTTGGAAGGTTATGTAATATCTAATCTCCTATATGGCAATGAATGGACAATCTTCTCACAGATGAAGAAGAGACTTGAAGCGATAGAAAAACTGACGAGTGTCCTTAGAAGCAAAAAGAAAAGAGTGTTGGACGGCTATGTAATATCTAATCTCCTATATGGCAGTGAATGCTGGACAATCTCCTCACAGATGAAGAAGAGACTTGAAGTGAAAGAGATGTGGTTCTACTGACGTGTGTCCTTAGAAGCAAAGAAAAGTGTTGGACGGCTATGTAATATCTAATCTCCTATATGGCAATGAATGCTGGACAATCTCCTCACAGATGAAGAAGAGACTTGAAGCGACAGAGATGTGGTTCTACTGACGAGTGTCCTTAGAAGCAAAGAAAAGAGTGTTGGACGGCTATGTAATATCTAATCTCCTATATGGCAGTGAATGCTGGACAATCTCATCACAGATGAAGAAGAGACTTGAAGCGACAGAGATGTGGTTCTACTGACGAGTGTCCTTAGAAACAAAGAAAAGAGTGTTGGACGGCTATGTAATATCTAATCTCCTATATGGCAGTGAATGCTGGACAATCTCCTCACAGATGAAGAAGAGACTTGAAGCGACAGAGATGTGGTTCTACTGACGAGTGTCCTTAGAAACAAAGAAAAGAGTGTTCGACGGCTATGTAATATCTAATCTCCTCTATGGCATTGAATGTTGGACAATCTCCTCACAGATGAAGAAGAGACTTGAAGCGACAGAGATGTGGTTCTACTGACGAGTGTCCTTAGAAGCAAAGAAAAGAGTGTTGGACGGCTATGTAATATCTAATCTCCTATATGGCAGTGAATGCTAGACAATCTCCTCACAGATGAAGAAGAAACTTGAAGCGGCAGAGATGTGGTTCTACTGACGAGTGTCCTTAGAAAGAAAAGAGTGTTGAACGGCTATCTAATATCTAATCTCCTATATGGCAGTGAATGCAGGACAATCTCGCTACAAATGAAGTGACTTGAAGTAACAGTGACGTGTTTCTTTAGGCAAAAATAAGTTATATAATCTATTATAAGTTAGTGAATGCTGGACAATCTCCGCAAGGAGTGACAGAGATTTAGTCCTACTGATAAATAATGGGAATTCTCTGGGCAGAGTATGTGAGTAATAATTAGAACGAGAAGGAAGCAACTGCGATTAATCAAAAAGAAACAGGTGGAAATTTTCGGGCACCTAATCAGGAGACGAAAAGCTTGGAGAATTTAACACAGAACACATTGAAGCCAAGAGAAGCAGAAGAAAACAACGAAGGAATCGATATGATAAGTTTTGAACAAGTTAATAGCGGACCAAATACCTCAAAGACAAATAGATGTAATGAAGGTGGAAAAATTACTGAAAGCGGCAAAGTATGAAGAACTATGGCCGCCTACTTGCTAAAGGATTACGGCATACAGAAAAAGAGACATGTCTCCATGTGTGGTAATAACACGCTATATACATTTAATAACATCTTCTACTCTAGACTGAACTGCTAAACAGCCCAGAAGGCGTCGTATTTTCTTTTCTTCACATGGGATTTGTATCTCCATTTACCAACAGAAGGCGCCGGCCATATTGCTATCTTCCACGGTAGCTTATTCGAGATTGGTACCATTCAGAGATTATGATAGAAGGCTTCATTGTAACAACCGCAAATAATGGATGTAAACGGCAAAATGGATAAAGCTAGATTCTTTAAGACCAGTTGTAGTTCTTTGTTTGATATGAACGAAGAGGCAAAGCTTTTGTGGAGTATGAAAAAGTAGTCGACTGAGCCATGATAAGATGCCATTACATGTCTTCCTAATGATTTCTTTTGCTGCAATTTCTGTATTATTACATGTGACATTCTCCATTTTCGACCATTTTTCTTTGCTCTTTTGTTCCGAAATATTTCATGATTTTTATCTTCCCCTTTTCTTTCTTTCTTTCTTTCTTTCTTTCTTTCTTTATTTCTTCCTTTCTGTATTTTCCGTCGAAATAGTTTTCTTTTCCTTTCTTTCTTTTTTCCTATCTTTATTTAATTCCATTCTGTAATTCCCATGGTATTATTATTTCTTTCTTTCTTTCTTTCTTTCTTTCTTTCTTTCTTTCTTTCTTTCTTTCTGTATTTTCCGTCGAAATAGTTTTCTTTTCCTTTCTTTCTTTTTTCCTATCTTTATTTAATTCCTTTCTGTAATTTCCATCGTATTATTCTTTCTTTCTTTCTTTATTTCTTTCTTTCTTTCTTTCTTTCTTTCTTTCTTTCTTTCATTCTGTATTTTCCATCGAAATAGTTTTCTTTTCCTTTCTTTCTTTTTTCCTATCTTTATTTAATTCCTTTCTGTAATTCCCATCGTATTATTCTTTCTTTCTTTCTTTCTTTCTTTCTTTCTTTCTTTATTGCTTCCTTTCTGTATTTTCCGTCGAAATAGTTTTCTTTTCCTTTCTTTTTTCCTATCTTTATTTAATTCCATTCTGTAATTCCCATCGTATTATTCTTTCTTTCTTTCTTTCTTTCTTTCTTTCTTTCTTTCTTTCTTTCTGTATTTTCCGTCGAAATAGTTTTCTTTTCCTTTCTTTCTTTTTTCCTATCTTTATTTAATTCCTTTCTGTAATTCCCATCGTATTATTCTTTCTTTCTTTCTTTCTTTCTTTCTTTCTTTCTTTCTTTCTGTATTTTCCATCGAAATAGTTTTCTTTTCCTTTCTTTCTTTTTTCCTATCTTTATTTAATTCCATTCTGTAATTCCCATCGTATTATTCTTTCTTTCTTTCTTTCTTTCTTTCTTTCTTTCTTTCTTTCTTTCATTCTGTATTTTCCATCGAAATAGTTTTCTTTTCCTTTCTTTTTTTTTCCTATCTTTATTTAATTCCTTTCTGTAATTCCCATCGTATTATTCTTTCTTTTTTTTCTTTCTTTCTTTCTTTCTTTCTTTCTTTCTTTATTGCTACCTTTCTGTATTTTCCGTCGAAATAGTTTTCTTTTCCTTTCTTTCTTTTTCCTATCTTTATTTAATTCCTTTCTGTAATTTCGTATTATTCTTTCTTTCTTTTTTCTTTCTTTCTTTTCTTTCTTTCTGTATTTTCCGTCGAAATAGTTTTCTTTTCCTTTCTTTTTTTTTCCTATCTTTATTTAACTCCTTTCTGTAATTCCCATCGTATTATTCTTTCTTTCTTTCTTTCTTTCTTCCTTTCTGTATTTTCCATCGAAATAGTTTTCTTTTCCTTTCTTTCTTTTTTCCTATCTTTATTTAACTCCTTTCTGTAATTCCCATCGTATTATTCTTTCTTTCTTTCTTTCTTTCTTTCTTTCTTTCTTTCTTTCTTTCTGTATTTTCCGTCGAAATAGTTTTCTTTTCCTTTCTTTTTTTTTTCCTATCTTTATTTAACTCCTTTCTGTAATTCCCATCGTATTATTCTTTCTTTCTTTCTTTCTTTCTTTCTTTCTTTCTCCTAAACTTGCCTATTTTATTTTCTTTCTTTCTCTTTTCTATATCTTTTCCTGTTCGTTTACCCACTCCGTTATATTTCCTCTTTTTCATTTACGTTCTTTCTTTCTGTATTGTTTTTCATTTCTTTCTTTCTTTATTCTTTCTTTCTCTATCTTTTCAGGATATCAGTTTTTCTTTCATTATCGTTTTCTAATTCATTTCTTTAATATTTCTTTCTGTCTCGTTTTTTTTTTTTCTTTCTTTATTATTTCTTATTTTCTCTCTTCGTTCGTTCATCCTTTCTTTCTTTTTTCTTTCTTTCTTTTCTACTCAATTATTTCATTCTTTTTTTCTATATCTTCTTTTTATCAGTGTCCTTCGTATTGCCCTTCTTTTTGTTGTCCTAATTCAATTTATTTTCTTCGATCTCATTTTATTTTTTTCCTTCTTTCTTTCTTTATTTTTACGGTATTCTCTTCAATTTGATTTTCTTTCTTCCTTCCTTTCTTTCTTTCTTTCTTTCTTTCTTTCCCTATTATATTGTGCTTTCTTTCTTTTAACCTTTTATGTAATTCTCTTCGCTCTCATTTTCTTTTTTTCTTTCTTTCTTTCTTTCTTTCTTTCTTTCTTATGGTATTCTCTTCGATCTCCTTTTCTTTTTTTCCTTCTTTCTTTCATTATTTTTCGGTATTCTCTTCAATTTGATTGTCTTTCTTTCTTCCATTTTTTCTTTCTTTCTTTCTTTCTTTCTTTCTTTCTTTCTTATGGTATTCTCTTCGATCTCTTTTTCTTTTTTCCTTCTTTCTTTCTTTATTTTTACGGTATGCTCTCCAATCTCATTTTCTTTCTTTCTTTTTTCTTTCTTTCCCTATTATTTTGTGCTTTCTTTCTTTTAATCTTTTATGCAATTCTCTTCGCTCTCCTTTTCTTTCTTTCTTTCTTTCTTTCTTTCTTTCTTTCTTTCTTTCTTTCTTTCTTCGTTGTGATATTCTCTTTGATCTCCTTTCTTTCTTTCTTTTTCTGATATTCTCTTCGGTTTTCTTTTCTCTTCACATAGAGACCTCGAGGTATTACGGTGACTGTAGTAAGAATGATAAGTTTGTGTTGTTTTGGAGTAAAGAATACTGTAGTATGTTTCTCTCAGTAACTGTGGCTAGTTAAATTTAAGATAAGACAGACGGAAGACCAGCCTTCCCGACCCCCACTTTTGCCCTTGTGCTACACATTTCTATTTGTCAAAACAAATATTATTTTCCCCTGTTGTATCCAGACTTTATCAATTTAAGCGCTGTACTAGATTGGCTACAACGTCTCAAAGTTACTACCTTTATCTTAGTCATGATTATAGAAGCTCAACTACAATGACTTGCCAAGGTAATTTCCACCCATGCTAATAAAGTGGGACGATTCCTGGTTAGAATAAAAATACTGTAATCTCAGAACAAATATTCCCAAAGAACGTCTTAGATTATCTTATTCTCTTCATTAAATAACTGAAACGGAATGGAATAAAAATGCGAGAAGAAGCGAGAAGAACTGAACAAAGAACACGATTAGATAATATCCACATAATCATAATTACCGAACAAATATATATATATATATATATATATATATATATATATATATATACGAATATACACCCTTACACATATCATGCTCGCTCACTCCCTAAGAAATATGTGTTTTGGGATCTTACCCATAATAATAATAATGGACTATTCCATTATTCTATAATAAATACTGCGCCTCAGGAGGAGGCAAGGAGTCGGTAGTTCAAGTCGAGTCAAGAGTCGAGTCAGAGGCAGTCCGAAACAGAGTCGCGTTCAAACAATTACTACAAGACATTGGAATAGTGATACTGGTCGAGACTACATTGTTCTCTCTACTAAACCTGATTATTCATACTAACACTTCTACTTCTCTGTATATATTCCTGTTTGTAATATATCTGTGTTATTCCATACCTGTGTTCGAGTTCTTCTTTATTGGTTCTACCTTGGACTGTCACCGTGGTACAAGGAACCGGATCATAACAATAAGACACACACATCGCCTTTCCAATAAAACTACCAAGGGAATTCAGGGCAGCATGAATCCACCCACTTCTTATCTTAAATAACAACTTAAAAGAGACTGTTTGACCAACACAGGGACTGACCAAAATTCATGTTAACAAAATAAAAAATAAAAAATTTAAACTACAGACAAAAGTTAATTTTCTTCAAGACATTCATTTCTGTAGTTCACTGCTACCAGCAAGCAGAAATATTTCTTCTCCTGATGATGGCCATGTTGTTCAATATACTGCTCAATATATATATATATATATATATTAATTACATTAAGAAAAAGACAACCTGAAGGTTCGATAACTATAATTTATTTCCCCAGAAAATATATATTCAGTTCACATCTCTAGTTGCAAAGGGATTTGGTTTCTTTTATTCTTAAGTTTTTGATTGATAGCTTTAAATTGATGTAAGGTGACAGATTGGGTGGGAGGCGTCCATAGTATGATCTAAATTAACTATCCCTCAAAAACTATATATATATATATGTGTGTGTAGCTGGCCACTCGTATTAAAGGATACCTATCTACTAGAGCGGCTTGCCAATCCTTATTGTAGACGCTTACTCAGTCCCTCGGTCACTATGAATTGTGACTTCATGCTATCGGCACTTTTCAGTATATATTTATATATATATATATATATATATATATATATATATATATATATATATATATATATGAAGTCATCCACAGACAAACTGTTTCTTCAGTGTGGTTAGACGTCCGGTTGCCTCTAGCTAGGATCGAAACCCGACTGAATTGGTGTCAGTCGGAGATTCTACCACTACGCCGTCGGCGTAGATGAAGGTGAATTTTAGCGTATTTATTTTCGATAAAACACACAGTGACCGACAATGACTCAATTCTCTTTTGCCGAAGAGTCTCGCTATATCAGCCATAATAGTCACTGTTTACAAACCACACCTCTTCCCCAGAGGGCTCAGCTGAAATTAATCTTTCAGGAGACTATATAAAGTCATCCATAGACAGACTTTTTCGCTGTTTCACAGCTCTTCAGTATTATATATATATATATATATATATATATATATATATATATATATATATATATATATATATATTAAGACAGCAATCCTTCATTTATGCACGTTTCATTAAAAACAACGATTAAGCTTTTTATTTTTCTTGTGTTCGAACAAGTGTTTTCTACTTTAGACTCAGATTATGTAGAAACTGTCCAAATATTCTATAATTCCGAGCGCTTTCGGCAATACATTTAGCCATTATCAAGGGTGATTTTTTTTTTCAGTTTCATTGAGTGTGTGCGTTGTGTGTATGTTTTTAGTGTTATAGTGTTTTATTTTCCGAAGACAGCACATTGTGGCCGTGTTCGTAGGTAATATAAAAGTATATTTCAACAATTTCTAAACATTTATTCGAACAAAAGAAAAATTAAATAAAAAGCAGTTTAACGGTTTTAACATTTTAAAAACTTGCATTGAGATGAGGAAAAATTTCGCTCTACATCTGACTGCAGTTGGAGAATTCTTCCAGCTTTATACAGAAGAAAGGTGCTTCATTCAGATTGGTTGATTACGATCACGTGATCAGGTATAGTAATTTGTGCGCCCAAAATCGATAATCACAAAATATTCATATCAAAAGTTGTAAGCGATGAGTCAAAGTGTCAAGTAATTTAGTACATCAAAGTTTAAAGTAGTACAAATGTCAAGGAAAGGAATTTAATTTAATTTCAAAACTTACTTTCCCATATATATATATATATATATATATATATATATATATATATATATATAATTTAAAGCAAATATAAATTTGTTCTGGATTTACATTGAGCTCTCTGGATTTTATCCTACTTAGGTTTACCCATACGGATTACCTAGTTTTTTCATAAACTATATATATATATATATATATATATATATATATATATATATATATATATATATATATATCAAAATGAACATTGACGTCAACACTTAGTGACAACAGTGGGATGAAGTGCTCAATATCAGAAATAGAGCGTATATAAATATAAAAGTGACATTGATGTCAACACTCAGAGGCGAAAGGCTGTTTCATGCTAGACGCAATCGTCAGGCCGCGAGTGTTGGATTTTTCCACGACTATTTGTATATATGGGTCAGTGGTGTAATGTGGCCAATCCATTCTTGTGGTTATTTTACCGGGAGTGGCTTGTTTATTTATTTATTTATTTGGGTTAATTTATTTTACTTGTTTTTTATTTTTATTTTTCATTTTATGTATTTATTTATTCTTTTCGGTTTTCTATGTTTTATTAACGTGGTAAAAATTTTGGTTGTGGTTTGCTTAAGTCGCTTATTATACTTATTTATGTTCATTTTTATTAGTCCCAACGGTTATTTTAACGGGAGCGATTTGTAATTTGTTTATTCATTTATTTATTTTTGAATTAATTTTCACTTGCTTTTATTCTTATTTATTTCGTTATTTTAATTTCTTATTTATCTTTTATTTTGTATATTATTATATACTCTATACAGTTCTCGGTTTTAGAGTAACGTAGTATTTTTTTAATCGTTGTATAGCAGTTATAGCTATTTTCTCGTCCCATTTTTGGACTGAGTGTTGAAGTCTATTCTAACGGTTAATTTGGCGGGATTGGTTTATTTGATTTTTTTATAGTTTATTTTATTTATTCGGATTGATTATTTTTACTTGTATTTATTTTCTATTTATATTTGTTCTATTTCATCTATTCTAACGGGAGAAGGTTTGTTAATTTGTTTATTATTTGCTTAGGTTAATTTATTTTACTTGTTTTTTTTTAATATATTTTGCTTATTTTTGTTTATTCTTTTCCGTTTTTGATTTTTAAATAACGTAGTAAATATAAACTCGTGCTTGATGTAGAATAACAGAGCTGTAAATATACATTAACAATAGATATACATATTGAGTTGGATCTTTGATATATATATATATATATATATATATATATATATATATATATATATATATAAGTGAATTTCTGGGGGATTTAGAGTAATCATATATAGTAATTCATCGAGCCCAGAACAATCATCAACATAATGCAGAAAGCACTGGACGGGTGTTTCCTCCTATTTGGGACTCATCAGCAGTGCGCATCCCCTACCGAGAATCGAAACCGGACCCTTTCGATACAACGCAAACGACATACCAACTGTATCACGGGCCTCGGTGACGAAGAAGACAAACTAGACTCGATATATAGCGCCGCTACGAACTCATTTCCGCAGCGATACTCATCCAAGTATGCGGATAACCTCGGGACAGTGCCCCAAGATCCACGTCTTCCTTTCGGCCCTTAGCCGCTCCACACGAGCATTAAACACATGGCCCAGTGGGTAAAGATGTTGGTTAGATCCAGTGACTAGACCCAAGGAGTTGTGATTTCAATACCAGGCCAGGGGAACCAAAACTTGGAGTTAAAAAGGAAATAATTGAGACATCCGGGATAGTCATGTCACGTGGAACTAGAACAATCTACCTCTGTGGGCAAAATAAAGGGTTCGGTTCGAAATTCGAATCACCTGAAGAAGATCGGAGCGTACAACGGCCGAAACGTTGAGATTATGTCAAGGAAGATGAGGATAACAGTCCGAATAATGTAAATAATACCTTATCTCAGAGATTTAGAGGTCGAAACGTTGTGAATATGGCAATGAAGACGTGGATAACAGTCCGAATAATATAATACTAGTAATCATAATACCTTATCTCAGATATATAGAGGCCGAAACGTTGTGAATATGGCAATGAAGATGAGGATAATAGTCCGAATAATATAATTAATACTAGTAATCATAATACCTTATCTCAGAGATCTAGAGGCCGAAACATTGTGAATATGGCAATGAAGACGAGGATAACAGTCCGAATAATGTAAATAATGCAAGTAATCATAATACCTTATCTCAGAGATCTAAAGGCCAAATGTGAAT